TGCTCGCCGGTTTTTGAAGCTTTGCGTTGATGCCGGAAATGCTGAAGCTTATTACGCTCTTCTCTTCCAGGTGAGTTATTATATTTTTGTTACCCCAAACGGATGTTTTTTTTTTTTTTTTTTCTCCTCTGAATCTCATCAGTAACTCTTATTAAATTGATGAGGGCAATAAAATAGTAAATGCTCTATTATTTGATGAATTTGGTCTGTTGGAGAAAGGCATGTTTTGTGATGCTAGTTTGGTTAACATTTGTCTATCCCACGCTTAATTATATGGTATTCCTTATTAGTTGGGACTAACAAAAACTTAGCGTATATGCATTCATTTAAAATGGATTTAAAATTCCATCTGAATGTTTTGAAACTAGCTAGGTAAGGGTGAAGATTTTGAAATTGACCTTATAAAGACTTGGTTAACACAAGAGGGTAGCTAGCATTGATCATAGAGCTTTCTTATATGTAGCAAAATTTGGTATATTGGTTTTAGAATTTAAAATCAGGCTAGGGCACAGGAAATGCTTAGCACGAGAATAACAGCAACAATCAGGTAAGCTAGTTTGGAATCACATATGGCTGGAAATATACTTATGTATATATTAGAGTATAGTTAAGCTTGTACATGACTGAAATAGCTAAGTTTCAGCATCAAACATGCACAAGGTTTAACAAAAGACTACATGTAGCTGAAAGTAGATGAGTATAAAGTTTATAAATGAACTTAGTATAGCTAAGATACAAAAGGCTTACAAAATAATGGAGCCAAATTCTAGTTTTGGTAAATATACAGGTTTGTGTCAATAAGTAAATGCTCACAACTGACGTGCAGACTCTCCGGAGTAGTAGCTAGGATGTTAGCTACACTTGACACACCTCTTAAGCCAGTCTGAAACGAGATGAAAAACACTAGGGTGAGCTTGAGAAAGCCAGTAAGTATATATAAAGATTGTGACTTCAAGCGGGCCATATGGTTATTAGTCAATTTTAAGTCATGCTAAAAACAAGCTTAATGCAATAAAAACAGCCCTAAAATTAATAATTAAAAAAAAGACTTTTATGCTCCCACATCATTCTCCTGGGGTTGGAAATCGTTCTGGGTTCAAATTGAAAGTCTTGTATTTACCATATTTATCTAGAGCAGTTTTCTTCCATGAAGTCCTCCAAAAATGTTCCTTAAACTTAACACCCATATAACAAACAATGGATGTTGGAATATGATGTAGTCTCATCACCTCTTCCAAAAATAAATCAACAATTTGTATGGCCTTTGAAATTTTAGAGCAGGGAAAGAAATCTGCCATTTTTGTGTATAATTCAAACCTGTTGGTAGGCAGATTAATTAAACTTGCTGCTGCAGTAAAATCAAACACATGTTGAATATTCACCATTGGCAGTAACCCCTCTGGTAGTTCCTTATTTTCTGACCCTTTAAACTCTTCTAATAGCTGCAGAGCTTTAGGGGGGTGCATAGATATTTTTCTCATTTGTTTTTCGTCAAACACCTTATTTGTATAAGCATAGATGCTTTCTATTCTGCTTTTCCTTTCAAACTTTGCTGCTTCAAAGTTTTTACCAGATAAATTTCTAACTACCTTTCTGTCAATAGAGATTTTTTTTTCTTGATCATCTTCACTTAAAGAATGCAAGATGTTATGACTCCAATCGTGTCCTTCTTCCTTAGCTATTGCCATCATTTCTTGAATCATTAAAGATTCTCCTTGAATTGAAAGAATGTCCACTTCTTCAATTTCATCACAATAAACATCGTAAACTAGTTCTAACATGTCACCTCCTTCCTCTTCAATTCCTCTTCAAACTTGTTTACTTTCTCCCCAAGTTATGGACAAGCAAAAGAGTATTGCCCCTTCCCTCCACAACTAAAACATTGAATTCCTAAATTGCCTGTTTGAGTAATGGAATGAGATGTTACATTCTTTACTATTGGAGTATGCTCCTCCATTGCCATTCTATTCTGTTTTTGGGTCTGAATTTTTTTTACAATTCCGTTGCATAACTAGCTGGCAAAAACTGTTTCCATATCTTTGCTTTCATGTGCTTCCAATTGCTGATGTTTGGCTTGCCTCGTCCAGAATGCTGTTTTTCATCTCTCTTCCCCCATTGAAGTGCAGCTCCGTTCAATTTATGCTTTACAAAAATCACCTTCCTATTTTCTGCCATGTGTTTCAATTGAAAATAATTCTCCAAACTAACTTCCCAATCTAAATAATCTTCTGCATACATCTTTCCATGGAAATCAATAACTTCTATTTTAATTCCACCACTGTTCAAATCAAGGGCACGTATCAACTGCTCTTCCAATCCACCTCTTAGTGCTTGACTTGTGGTTCTAGTTTCATGAAAAGGGTTATCATCCCCTCCATCTATGGTCTCATCCTTTAGACTACCTTTTGGTGTGTCTACCAGATCACCCTCTGGCATCTCCAGACAGGTTCCTATGGGTTCCTGTTGCTGTAAAGCTTGCACAGCTCACAACAAGTTGTTAATCATATATCGCATCTCAGTTAATTCTGCTTGTTGGCTTTTATTTCCTCTGCCATGAGCAACCGTAGCTCTGATACCAATTTGATGCCGGAAAGATAGGGGTAAAACAAATAGAAACTAAGAAGTTCATAAAATTACAGATGGAACCAAGAAAACCTAGGATTTCAACCTCAAGTTTATTCTCAAAATAAAATCTAATAACAAAAATTGATTTAGAGATCTAAGAATAACTATAGCCAAGAATTCTAATTCAATTCTAATTTGATCTTCTAATAACCTGCTAATTCTAGTCCTAATTAAAAGTAACATGCTATCCACATGATTTTTCTAAAATTAAAACTTAGACTCCAAATAAAACTCAAAACTTAATGCAATACAAACAGCCCTAAAATGAATAATTAAAAAAAAAAAAAAAAAAGACTTTTATGCTCCCGCATCAGTTTTGCACTGATACTGTTGATGCTTGTTGTCTACATTTTGTCTATGGGATGTTGGATAGGTATATATAATGTTAAGGTTGGGGCATAGTTTTCTTGGTTGATTATTATGTGGTTGATTGGGAATGATAAAAATGAGATGATCTTCCATAATAACCAATAAGAGAAAAGCAAAATTTTTGAATTTTTTTTATCAGCAAAAATAAAATTTATTCAATATGAGTACAAGGGGTACTCAACCCGAACACAACAAAAATCACAACAATCAACTGACTAACAAACTTAACCACACATTCCCTCAAAACAGACTCAAAACACAAAGTCACACAACAGCTTCTAGAGAAACCCACCTAGTACAAGAAAGGGTTCAAAACACACATGCTCACAGCTGCTAATGGACACAAAACTCAACACATCAAAAGTTCATAACAAACAAATTTGATACAAAAAATTCCCACAAGCCAAACAAACGCTTTGATCAATCCTTCACGCTTTTTCAGACTCACCTATAAACAACACCTTAAGCCAGGAAAGATAACCTGGCAACAACAAGCAATTCTTCACTCCACCACCAAAACATAAAAGGCCCTTATTGCTTGCACCAAGCAGCCCCATTGCATCATCTCTCTCCATTAATTCCACTAAAAGTGGCACAATTTGCTCTTCTGAACCCTTCATTTGGAGACCCTTTTTCTTAGCCAGAGAATACAAATTTCTAGCTTTTAACCTATTCAACTCTTTCTGAATCGTCTTGCTCCTATGTTCAATTTTACTGTTGGGCAAAAGAATGCACCAATAATTGAGAATCCCATAAGTTGCTAACTCCACCGTAGAAGCCCCCTTATCAGCCATAAAAGATGGAATGGAAGAGTCAGCTTCATTCCCATCCACATCAGATTTCAATTTCAAATTTGAATCAATTAACTCATTCAAAGAGTCCACAGCCCATGCATCGGCCTTGATATGGCCATTTACTGCAGCTGAATTCTCAGGCAGTGCCTCATCTGCATCTTTCAAAGTTCCATCTTCTCCTTGCAACTGTTCATCCCATCGCTGGAGAAAACGATCTTGGGCAGTGCCTCATCTGCATCTTTCACACTTCCATCTTCTTGTTGAAAACCATTCATTTCATTGCTGGAGAAAATGATGTTATCATTGGAAAATTTAAATTCTGATGACGACACTAGCTCTTCCTTGTGGCTGCTATAATAAACCCAACAATTTGGATCAGCTTTCAAATTTTCTTCAACAATCTTAATAAAAAAGGGAATATCATCCACTTGAAGCATGAAGGAATTCAAGATAGTGTATTTCGTTCTTGTAAGGACCAGCACTATACAATAAAGGAGATTGTTTCTATTTCTCGTAGATTCATACAGAAAAATAAATTCTCCAAATTCTTCCCCAATCATCTTAAAACATTGTTCGGACCACATGTGGAGATGTACCTTGACAACTTGAAGCCAAACAAGCTTTTTACTAGCTCCAGCACCATCCAATGGAGACCATCGCTTGATATGATCAGACCAAGCTTTCTTCCAGTTAATTTTTCCTTCAATCAATTTTTCTAGCAAATCCTTGTCTTTGTCTTCCATCAAAACTAGATTTCCAGCCAAAGGATACACTGACATTATGACTTCTTCTGCTGCTAAATTATCTTAAAGGGTGGAAATTACCTCTCTTGATTTCACTGATGCTACCACACAATACTCCAATAACTTTGATTCTTCAGCATTATAACTGAATTTCAACACTTTGCCACATCCCACATTTTTTGTGAGATTTTTGGTTCCTGTATCTTTCAGAGCACCTGCCTTGCTCTTCACTGCCTGGATAGGGAACAGGTTCTCAAGAGGGGTCTCACTCCATATCTTTTCTTTGGTAAGAAAACATCTGTAAGTTTTCCATAGATCACAAGCTTTTCCCACAGATCCTTCACACCCCAATCCTCTGGAAAATTGGTGAAGTAGAATGAGGTCACCTGTTTCATGACATCACAATCTGCTCGTCTTTCATCCACACTGGAGTTGTGCTCAATGACCGGCCCCTACCTCAGTTTTGACAATGGCTGTGTCTTTACAGAGATAGGGTTCTCATGATAGGAAGGAAAACTCTCACTTAAAGGGGAAAAATGTCTGGGATCAAGGGTGTTCACCGGAGAAAGAACGTCATTGGTGGCTGGTTGGGTTGGAGAGAACGGAGAAGAAGGGTCATTCATCTCTCTTTGAACATTTAATTCTTTGGGGAAAAGAAATTGTTGAAGTTAAGTCCTTGAATTTATGAATTAATTCAGGTCATCAAGTAGTTTGTATGGTTAAAGAGGAAGCTGGGAAGTGTTGCATGTGTATGTTTTCCATTAGTGATTGTGTTCAGTTTCTGTCCTTGTGTGTAGACAAGATTAGAAGGTTGTTAGAATAACAGATGATGGGTGTTTGAGGCCAAGCAGCTTGCTCTGAAGTTTTACAGGATAGTTGGCAGAGTTCTGTTTTCTGTTTGTAAGGTTAATTTTGTATATTGTCAAGTACAAGTTATTTAGTTGAATTTAGTGATAATTTTTCTTTGCAATTAAAGATTTCATATATGATTGATAAGTACCTGAATAATATATTTGTAGTGTGCATAAAAAATCTTTATTTATTCTGTTTCAATTGTTAGTTTAGTTGAATTTAGTGATAGTTTTTCTTTGCAATTAAAGATCTCTATTTGAATTATATATTTGTAGAGTGAATTCATTAGTCTTCAGAAATGGGAAGAACTGTGTGTGAAATTTTGTGAGAATGAGAGAAAATTACTGAGAAGTTCAAAGCCTTTTGTTTAAGGGTGATGATCTTTCTCATGAGTTTCTTGTCCAAAACTTTTCTTTATGCCCTGGTTATTCTATATATAAAAAGTGCAGTTGACAAGGTTGAACAATACATTATTACTTCTGTTTCCTAGCTAATCTTTGTTTTGATAGGCTATGGAAGAGGAAGAAAGAAAATTCAATGAAGAATTCAGCAACTTTTTTGAAATGTGGGACTGGGAGGTACTTCCTTCCAATCATCTCTTCTTTTTGGTAGTATTTAATACATTAATTACTCTATATATATCTCATTTTATCATTTGATGATGTTGTAAATTTGTAATTAGTCTATACCAAGGACTTATCGTTTTAACTTATTTTTTATTTTAGTTTGTTAACTTGCAGGACCTGTTTGTAACTTCAGATGAGGTATATATAGATTTTATGTTGCATTTATACTGTTGACATTTCTAATTATAGAACTACTAGTTTTTTAACATTTTCTTAACCTGCAGAACCTTGAAGTTAAAATGATTCAAACAGGGCGACTAGAGGCTGTCACTGCCGTGAATTCAAGTTGCTTTGTAGGTATAGTGAATTCAAGTAACTCTGGGGAAGTGGGGATTTTACAATTGTTGCTACAGCAACTTGAACGTTGGCATGGGCCAAGGATTTTGGTGCACTTTGCCAGCCCACCTGGGGCTGCAAGTGCACTTCGCTGCCTTAATTTTTGAGGGCTAACTCTTTTGTTTTGAATGTGACAGCAATTGGAAACCCATTTGAGCGAGCAGAAGCGTTAAAGAGAAAAAGAGAGGAAGAATTGGATGAAGCCCGTTGGGGCAAAAGGCCTGCAACTGCTTATATTCCCAATTGGTGGGTTTATGGCTGAGGCTCGTCAGAATTACCATCAGTCAGCAGCTGCACCGGCTAATCAATGACCTACGTTCTTAACCAATGAAGGTACACTAATAGAAACAAGGGAAGCTGCTCATGACAAGGAGCCCTCAACCTCCTCATGGGCACCTCTGCAGGTGGAGCTGAGGAAGTTCATATGATAGATTATGGCTTCAAGCTATAACTGAGCTATCTATAGTTATTAGTCAATTTTAATACATGCTAAAAACAATCTACTGAATTTAGAAGAGCAATAGAAATGCTCGTGACAGAAACTGCTCCCAAAATAAATAAAATAAAAAGGGAGCTCCAATGACCAGTTGATGAGCCCTTGAGCTTACAGCTGAGTTGCACCTTCCCTCTTACTCTTCTGGCCTATGGCTGCAGCAAACTTTTTCTCCAGAAACTGCTCTATGTTTTGTTATGGCTGCAGTTTTCTTGTATGTTATTTTGAGTACTTTCTATAGGTTCTACTGTTTAGGATATGCATTTTTGTGTTGTAATAATGGATGAGTTTTTTTTTTTTTTTTCTTTTTTTTGACAATGAAAATTATATGATTAAGTAAGCATCTGTTATACATTGGGAGGATTCGACCTCAAGACCAAAGGGTGCATTCCACTTTGCTGCTGAAGAACCGGGGAATGCGTAATGATGGATGAGTTTATTTCTCTATAATGTAAGAGTTTATTTGTGGGAAAAAAAATTATTTCGTATGAATGATTGAATTTTTATTGTTTTGAATGATTGATGGTTACTTGAATTGTATTCGTTTAAAATACTCATATATTCTGTTTCAATCGTAAATGCAGTTTCAACTCTTAAGAATACAGGGCCTTTTGTGAGGAGCCTGGAATCACTGACATGTTCAAAGCCTTTAGGAAGAGGAAGAACAAGAGTTCGAGGAAGAACTAAAGAAGCTTGAAGAAGTTTTGATGGTGTCATTATCTGTGCCCTGCTTCGTTCCAAGTTCCAACTATGCACCTTTTCTTTTTGGCTTTTAATATAATATACTATTTCATCGCAGCCCTACGTACCCACAAATGGGCCCGGATTCCACCCCTATGCCACACATTATGTGCATGTTTTCAAACGTTTAGAAGGATGGAACATGCGAATTATTGGACATTGATACTTTTCTTTAACTTGTGGGACCTTGAACTGTCGACAGGAAATTTAGCAGGTATGGATATATTTTGCTGCATTATTATAGTATTTTTGACATTCTTCTAATTGTGGAATATTATTGTTTTAACTTTTTCTTTAACCTGCAGGATCCTCAAATGTTTCCTCCAATTGTGAGGTAGAATTGCAGTCCAGCACTACATGTACTACACCATTGGCTGCAGGTGCCATGAATTCTATTGCAACTAGTGGAGGTAGAGTTATTTCAGCACTGAATTTGCTATGTCTTAAACTTTTTTTGGTTATATCTGGAGTTAGTAACTTGGTATTATATGATCCTATTGTCTCTCTTATAGTCTCGTTATGACCGTCTTGCCATGCAAGGAGCTACTGCTGCTGGTATCCCACCACCCAGTCCTCACCAACATAATCCATGGCTATGATCAGCCAACATAAACATAAAACCTGCATCATCCATGTGACATGCCCTGGAAGAAACTAGGTAGAGGTGGGATCAAGGTGAAGTTAAAATTTTTCATTGTGTGGTGAGGATTGGGTGGTGGGACCACCAGAAGATCCAGCAACAGCGGTAGTTTCTCCTTGCATGGCAAGACTGTAGGAGAGACAATAAGATCATATAATACCATGTTACTAAAAAAATTTAAGATACAGCAAACTCAATACTAAAATAACTCACTACCTCCACCAGTTGCAGTAAAATTCATGGCACCTGCAGTCAATGGCGTAGTACATGTAGTGCAGGACTGCAATTCTACCGCAGCATGCACAGCATAATTAATAATATTATTTAGAGTGTTTTTTAAAGGTTTACCTTTACCTTGATCCCACTTTTATGTATTTTCTTATGGGACTTCATGTCACATGGATGATGCAAATTTCATGTTCATGGCAGCTTATCGTAGGTTTGGATTAATTATGTTGGTGGAGCTATTATTTAGAATGATATGAACTTAATTACATGAACGCTAATTAGGTGGTTGTATTGAATGGGATATTTGAACTTGATGTTAATCATATAAACTACAAGGTACACACCACGCGATGCACAGGTAGTCAATAATTTTTTAGAGTATTGTTACCACTACTCCATCAAAATGTAATACATTTGAACTCATTCTTCTAAGAAACCCACAAGTACAGAAAGAAGCTCCTTATCACATTCTAATTAAAAGTTCTGACAAAAGGAGGCACAAAAGACACTCAGGTTTCTCAAGTAATTCAAAAAATACCTTCTCTTCATCATCCATCAAATTTCTAATTAAAAGTTCTGACAAAAGGAGTCACAAAAGACACTATCAAATTTCCTTTCATACTAAGAAAGTAGACTGTTGGACTATTGTGATTAGTCAATTTCAATTCCCAGCGGTAGAATACTGCGAAGAAACTATGCCATCTCATCCATTTCCCATCGCTAGATTGGGAGGAAAGTTACTTTTTTTAGTGATAGGAAAATAATTATGTAGTTTGATACAATTTAAAAATAAAATAAGGAGTTATTCGTGATGGTCAATTGTAATGTCTATTGGATTTTGTGCTCAAAACCAATTTTCCCTACCCAAACTAAAAATATGTGCAACTTCTCTTGAAAAATATTTCTTGAGAAACAGGAACCCAATCGCAGCCTAACAATTGAATAACAAACTCCATATCTCGAAAGGCGATAATTATCAGTTGATTAACTGGTTATCATGACATTGAGTGCTCTTCTCTACGCCCTAAACACTACTAAAATTTTGATTTTTAGCAACAAATATCAGCAACATGGGATCCTTTGTTGCTGAAAAATTGTATCACCAACAAGGTTTTAGTTGCTAAAAGCTATGTAGTACATTTCTCCCCTCCAAAAGTTACTTCACTTTCAGCAACAAGGGTATGTTGCTGAAAGTAAATATCAGCAACAAACCCTATGTTGCTGATATTTTTCGATAGCCCTACACCGCATTTTCCCCCCCAAATAAGGGTTCCATTTTTAACATGTCTCTTATTGCTGAAAGTGAATTTCAGCAACAAAAACTATGTTGCTAAAAATTTTAATCATTTAAAATTTAATCATTTGATAGTGTGGCGGGAGTTTTTTTATTTTAAATTTTAGCAACATAATACACGTCGGTGATGAGTAAAGGAATTTAAATTCAAATGAGTTTTAGCAACATAATATAGGTTGCTAATAGAGGGGTAAACTTTCAACAAGAAAGGCTATGTTGCTAAAAGTTATTTATATGCCCCAATATTTCTCCTCCCGCATGCCTTCCTTCTCCTCACATGGCTTCCTTCTCCTCGCATGGCCTGCTGCAAATCCTCC